TTCTCTGAGAGCCCTGGTCTCCACCCCAGCGGCTCCCCAGGCCCATGCATCCCTCTGCTTACAGGGGGTCATCAGCCTCAGGCAGAGAAACAGTGGCCCTCTGCACGGGGGAGGAGCCGGGAGGACACCAGGCCCAGCCACAGTGTATCTCTGCTTGCATGCCCCTTGTAACGGGCAGCTCACCACTCAGTAAGGCCCCACTGCCTCTCCTCTGGGCTCCTGCCTGTGGGACTGTCTTCCCACACTGCTGAGAACCTGCCTTCTGTGTCCCCGCTCTGCCTTGTAGGACGACACAGAACAGGTCTGCCCCCAGCGCGGGTCAGCTTTGCCCACATGCCCCAGGTACCACTGATACTAGGTTACTTACGGCTACTGGTTTATCTGATCCCTGATCCCCGCCTGCTGGTGTTACGATGCTGCGAAAGTCGCCTGTATTCCACGTGTTAGTCAATATGTTAAGGGCACGGGAAAAAGAAAACGAAAACCCTGAACATCTGAATTTAATAATAATCGCTACCAGCTTTGCTGTCCATCCCGTCCTAACAAGCTGCCATACGCCCAGGCGCCTGGGGCTGAGCTCGCCCAGCCTAAACCTCGACAGACAGTGGGGACTCCCCGAGCCAGGCAGAGTTGGCAGCCAGGCCACGAGGTTCTTTGGCCAGGAATACCTTCCTGGGGACTGATAAGTGCCACTTCCCCAGCGTGGCTTCACCTGACGACACCACAGAGAGGACCCTGGTGCCCCCTTGCCCAGATGGAAGACAGAGGCTCAGAGAGACGTGACTTGCCGAGGTCAGATGTGAAGTGAGAGTCAGGGCGGTGGGGACGTCCCTGGTGTGTCTGGGTCCAGGGCACAAGCGTGACTGAAAGTCAGCTCTGCACACACGAGCACTGTGCCCCTTCCAGGCCTTGGGTGTGATGTACCAGGTCCCCACGGGCTGAGGACGCAGGGCTACAGGAGCTGCGACTCACTGAGCGCTGGGAGACCAGGGTGAGGCCACCACCCACCGTGGCAGCCGCCAGCCCGGCCTGATGACCCAGCCTCTGGCCTCCGCTCTCTCACGGAGACCCTGGAAGCCACACTCCGCCCCCAGCACATCCACAGCCCTCTGCGCCTCCTGCGCCTTGCCGGGACTGTTTCCTCGGCCTGGAACACCCTTCCCAGCTCCCAGAGCTGCTTGTATCTCTCGCTCTCCTGTGGGGAGACTTCCCCGACCCCAGCTCCCAGAGCTGCTCCTCCGTGGCTCTCGTTGAACCAAGGAATTGGTGGCTGACGTGTCCCCCACGAGGGTAAAGACCCCGCAAAGACAGGAGCTGCGTCTGTCTGGCCCATGGCACGTCCCCGGAGTGGCCATGGGACAAATGCTTGATCAATGAATTAACCAACCCATGGGAGGCCATGAGAACATCATTTTGATCCCCGGGTCTCAATGGGCCAACAGGGCCGATGTGCACCCTGAGGCTATTCAGAGGACCAAGGGACACATGAAGAGCACGTTGCTCCACGCCTGGCGCACAGTAGGCGCTCATAACAGGGCGTCCATCTTGGATCAGACTGAGAGTCCGGAGAACCACCCACTGTGTGGCCCTGGGCAAGCCACGACCTCACCGGGGCCTCTACTTACCCTCCTGTAAAAGGAGGGGATTGCAGGCCTGGTCCTACCCTAGGGGCTGTTGAGGTATCAGCGGGAACAGAGCTCTCTCTGTCCTGGTCTCCACCCCAGCGGCTTCCCAGTAATAATAACCACAACCAACCTCCAAGGCCACACTCTGGGCCTGGCCTTCATCTGGATGGGCCCACGCAGCCCTCACAACCCCCCTATAGGGTTGGCAGTACCATTTCCCTGTATAGAGGGACCAGAAAAGGCTAGGCACTTGCCCAGAGTCACACAGCTAAGAGGTGGTGTTACCCCAATCTGAACAACCCTTCCCTTACCACCCAACCTCCTAGCCGCTACAGTTGCTGAGATTCCGGGGGCCTGGTGGCAGGGGCCCACCCTCCCAGGCATGCAGGTCCCAGGGGGGAAGGTGGCAGAAGGAACTCAGGATTAGTGCCATGGTGGCATGGAAGCAGGTGCAGGCAACTGGCTCACACACGGGGAAATTTAGTGAAACTTCCCCAGCACATGACACCACCTGCTCCCAGCCCCAGACGGGGCCTAAAGGAACCCAGGGTTGCTGCACGGAATGCCAGCTCACAGCCTGCACCTCAGAATGCAGACGAGGTGCCGTCTAGCTCTCGGCGTTAAGGGCCGCGAACCAACAGCCCAAGAAGAGTGCGGCAGGGTCCGGCACATCACAGGGGCTCCGAAATATGGCTCCTCCCTTGCCTCTTCCGCCTATGGAAACCCCACACCTCCTTCAAATACCCCCTCCAACAGGGAGCCCTCCTGGATCTCACCAAGCCCTCCTGGGGTCCCTTCTCTGTGTAGCAGCCTGGTGGTGCTGGGCCCGCCACGGCATGGGGTCGGGGGTGTGCGTCCAGCTGGGACGAAGGTAAGGGTCAAGGAGAAGATAGGCACTCCTCTCACTCAGGCCCCGGGGGGCCTGCAACCAAAAGGTCCAGAACTGCCCGTGCTGGAGCCACAGAAGTCAAAGCAGAGACCACAGGCAGCTCGAGCACAGAGCAGCTGGGCTCCAGCAAGGCTGACAGCGGCCTCACTCAGGCCTCAGCAGCAGCAGCTCTTGGCCTGCAGCTGGCATAGGGGACCACAGGGCTGGCCTGACATCCCGGCCAGGAGCCTGGGGAGCTGGCCGTCAAAGGGGTTCTTCGGGGCCCAGCTGTGGGGCTGCACAGAGCTGCTCTGGGTGGGGTGGGAAGGACACTGAGTGACACCTGCCGGCTCCCACCCCCTGCTGTCCTCCATCCCACGTCTGGGTCCCGGGCAAGGCTGTGATGGAAGGGGGCTCCACATAGCAAATAACAAGAATGATGTCTCCATTCGCGGAAAGCCTGGTGCAGCCACTGGGCTCAGCTGAACCCTCCTGACATCTTTGCACCCACCCCCTGCAGGAGGTGCCCCATCACTCCCATTGTGCAGAGGAGGAAACGGAGGCACCGAGAGGTTAAGTGACTCACCCAGGGTCACACAGCCCATAAGAGGTGAGGTCAAGAGCTGAGCCCAGGCAGTTTGGTTCCAAAGCCGTGCTGTTAACTTCTAAGCAATCTAACTTTAAACAAAATGTTGTGTGTATGGGTGTGGGTGTGTGTGGGTATGTGGGTGTGTGTGGGTATGTATGTGGGTGTGCAGGGGAGACAGGGTGTTGGAAACCACTGGGCAAAGAGATCCAGTCCAGATTCCCCGGTCTGGCACCTGACCCTCCTGACCCTCTAGCCTCATCTCCCACCGCCCCACCCCTCCCATCTTGCTCAGCTCACCTCCACGCCTTTGCTCACGCTGGTTCCTCCTTGGACAATGACCTCCTTCTGGATTTTTGCCTAACAGACTTCCCCTCCAGGTCTGGGCTCTCATGGCCTGCCAGGCAGACTCGGCCATCTGCTCCCCTCTCCTGGCCTTGGCCCCGAGCTCATCACATCCCTGAGGGTCCCCCACCCCAGTCCTTGTCAGGACCTCACAGGCCGCCGGGAGGGTTTGTGGAGACCCTGTGCACGGCGAGGACCAGGGAGATGACAGCAGGCATCTCCTGGGGCTCAAGGAAGGCAGGACAGCCCAGCATCTCCCCTCTGCCCCATGAGGAGGCCTTGGGCGGATGGGGCCATGGCCTAAACCCCTCACAGCCTCTAGCCAGCAGGTGGTCACCATGTGGTATCAGCCAGGGCCGCCCCAGGGCTCCCCAGCCACACTGTGTCAGCAGCCGCTCTCCCTGAAGTCCCTGCACCCGGACAGGCCCCAGGTCCCCCCAGATCGCCCGTCAGCCTCCCTACGTGTGCTGCTCTGGGTGATGGTGCAGCCTCAGGCCCTGTTACCCCTCCACGCCTGTGAATGCCCTTCTCTTCCCTTGTGGCTCAGGTCACCCCACCCCCTCCAGGGAGCCTTCCGGAATCAAACCACTCTTTCAAGCACGTGAGGTCTCTCCTTCCTGTGTAGGGTGTCCTCCTCACCCTGCCAGCACTTGGCACCCTGTGGCCACTGCCAGCTGGGCCTCTAAGGGCCAGGTGGTCTATCCAACTACAGGACGGGGACGATATATCAGTCCTCACAAGGCTGAGCAAGGAGTAGAGACAATCCTTGTGGAGATTTAAGCCCAGGGCCCAGCTTACTGTAACCGTTCAGGAATGTTCTGCTGCCACCATCACCATCATCACGATCTTAATCACCATCATCACCATCGTCACGGGGGTTGCTATGGACACACCGACCACCACGCAGACCCATCATGACCTGTTCTCACCTTGATCCCTACTTAGCCAGGTGAGCCTAGGGATGAGGTCTGATTGCTCTGTGTCCCCAGCAGGGAACAAAGGTTTGATGTATACTTGTGATTTAAACAGCTGCCGTCCCCAATACAGTAAAGCAGGCCTTTGGTCTTCCAGGGAAATTCCGACGGCCTCTCCTAACCTGGCTAATCAATCATCACCCCCCCACCTGTGCATCGTCTGTGTGTGTCAGAGGGACAGACAACAGGGACATTCCTAGCACGTGGAATAATGATTAAAAGCAAGGATTCTGGAACCAAACTGCCTGGGTTTAATCTCAGCTCTGCCCATTCCTACCTGTGTGACCTTCAGCCAGGCCCTTACCCTCTCTGTGCCTCAGTTTCCTCACCTGGAAAATGGGGATACTAATAGTACGTGTCCATACGTGAGACAGTATAGCATATATAATTATTCGCAAGATATGGGGAAACCAAGGCTCAGAGAGTGGCAGCGACCTGCCTAGGGTCACACAGCATGAGGGGAGAGCTGGCCCCGGGTCTCTCTGCGGCCTCTCCCAGCCCCTCTTCCCTCCATGCACTCAGCCTCACCTCCTCCATCCCCCCACCCCAGCACGGCTTCACGGTCGCCAGTGGTCGGAACGGCGCCCACCAGGCACACTCACCACGGGGAGCCGTAGATGCGGAAGCCCCGCACGGTGACCTCCGAGTCCTGCAGGTAGATGCAGTTGGTCAGCAGCGACTGCACGTTCTCGTAGTTCTCCGGCTTCAGCTTCGACACGGACGGGAAGTAGTAGAAGTCCTGCTTGATGAGGTCGGCCATGAACTCCTGGTCGAAGGTCAGCTCGTGGTTGCCTGCGATCACGATCTTGTACTCGTAGGGCAGGCTGCCTGCAGAGCCGACACACACAGACACACGGCGCCCCGCTGTTGGCTTCCGGAGGCCACAGTGCCGGGGGCAGGGGGCAGGCAAGAGCCCCTGGACCCCCTGGCAGAGCTGACCCTCGCTGCCGACAGGTGCCTTCTGATCGGAGGCGGCGGCAGCAGCCTGGTCACCATCCCTGTGGCCTCCCTGCCCCCGCTGCTGCTGGCTGACAGGCCGCCTGCCCCCCAGACCAGCGGGACGGGGCTGGACTGTTTCCTGCAGGGCCTCTGAGCTGCAGTGGACCCGGGCTCATCCTCAGGACTCCCCCACCCCCGTTTCTTCTGTCCGGGCCACTTTTCCACCGGAAGGAGACCCTGCCCTGGGCCCCCAGGCCTGCCTCGCCAGCCTCAATGTCTCAGGCCCCCTCCACCTGGGGGTCTGACTTGTTAGTTTCCACATTAACAGGGACTGCAAGTTCTTTGCAGAGCCCAGGTCAACCCTTTGGAGACCCTACGCTCGGGAAAGATTACACTGCCCATCCCCACCCCTACTGCCATGGAATTCAAAGTCAAAACACGGTCTAAGTGGGTCCGTGTATAACATACACTGAGCTAACACTAGGGTCCTTCCAGCTGTGCGCTCTGCAAATTCCACGCGGTTCCTCGACGCCGTGCTTCTTCCCCTTGCTTTCTCTGGGGCCTTACGTCACAGATGCCCTAGGCAGGTGTGTGCACTGCGTCCCGGGTGATCTGGCCATGGGCTGGGTTCCAGCACAGCCGCCCAAGGCTACCACAGCCCCTCGGCCTCAGTAAACTGGCCGCCACCCGCCCCGGCTCCCCAACACCCGCCGGCAGCCGGCCCGACCCCAGGCTCAGGCCCGGGACTCCCGATCTCCCACCAGCCTCAGCTGCTAGGCTCTCCGGGCCTGGAGAAAGAGTCATGATGGTACCTGATTAGGATAAAAAAATGAATTCTGAAGGTGAACCCCGAGGCCCAAGCCTTTTTCTTGCCCCCTCCCCAAGGGCGTGCCCTGGTGGGTCAAGCAAACACCAAGGGGCGTGTGAAGGTGCCAGCCCAGCATGGGGCCCTGGGGAGACGGGGTGTCCAGGCAGGAGAATGGTGACGTTCCATAGCCATTTCACAGACAAGTAACTGCGGCCACGGCATGGAACTTCTAAACCACCTGAGCTCTGGTTTCTGAAGGAGCTGCGACAAAAGACACCAAACTTTACTCTGCGTCTGTTTCAGCAAGAAAGTCGCTTCTTTTGTCCGAATTCTTCAGCAGTGAGTGGCTAGTGAGCACAACCCCGTGCACGTATAAGCCCTACTACACGTCAGGCACGGAGCCAGGCCTTCATCGCGTCCATCGTGCAGACGCGGAAACTGAGGCTCCGGAAGCTGCGGGGTGATGTGCTGGAGGCCACGTGGCCAGGAGGCGGCAGAGCTGGATTCTGAGCCAGGCAGTCCTGTGTGACCCCAGACTTTCCACCTACTCGGGGAAAGCCCGGGAAAGCGCCCTCGACAAGGCCAGGGCGAGGGCCCCATCCTGACCACCGAGAGCCGTGGCCACACCTCTGGCTCCGGCCTCCCGTCGGGGGTCCCAGGGTGATGTGAAAGGGAACCTGCCCAGAGGACCGCCCCGGGCTAACAGAGGTCCACACCTCAGGAGGCGTCTTCTCCGTTCCCAGTGACCATGACTCCCACAGGAGCACACACAGGGCAAAGTGTCCGGCGTTGGAGCCAGCGGACCTGGGTTCTGTCACCTCTCATCTGAGCAGGTCACTTGAACCTCTCTGAGCCTCAGTTTCCCCTCTGATCAACGTGAGTGTGCCTGGTAACCGCCCCTTTCTGGGGGCCAAGGGCCTCGTGTGGCCCCCAGCTCCGCCAAGCCCCTTCCCTGTGGCTGGTCCCACCCAGGGGTAACACAGTCCAGGGACAGCAGAGCTTTCTCACTCTTGACCATGACCTGAAACTCGACCTCCTCTGCTGTGTGAGCCTTCTATCAGAAACCCAATTCCAGAAACGCCTCTTCTCCAAATTCTGAGGACTTCCTGCCTTACTGGGAACCGGGGCCCACAATACCAGGTCAGCTGCGACAGACGTGGGATCAGACTCAGCTCCCCATGAGGCTCCAGGAAGAACCCCGTGTGCCCAGCACTGTGGAAGCTCCAGGAAGGGGCAGGGTGAGTTTTACGCCTGTGCCACACAATGAAGTTCCAGGTACCATAACTACAACCACTATCGTATTCTAATTGCAACGAACCCAGTTAGAAACGTCTCCAGCCCGCCCCCCTCCCATCCCTGCAGTTGGGACCTGCCCATTCTGCCTGGCCCCAGGCTCCATGGCCGTGGCAAAGGGCTGTTGGGTGGCCGCTCGCCTCCGAGTCTGGCCACAGAGGAGGTGGGGACCCCAGCACGGAGAGAGAAGTTTTTCACAAAACAAGCAGAAAAGCATAATCTGTTCATCACTGCCTCACCGGCCACCCAGACTTCTTTACAGGTTTGAGAAAATAGCGTTCTCTCTTCTTTGGTGTTTGTCAACTCTGGGAGGCTGTCCGATGACAGGCATGGGCTCCAGGGGCTGACAGCTGGGTCCCAGACCCAGTTCTGCCACTAACCGGCTATGTGACTTGACCTCCCCGGGCCTCCGTTTCCTCACCTGTGAAACAGGGAGAATAACGCCTACCTCGCGAGACCGTTCTAGGATTACACAAGACAGTGAATGGAAACACACAAAGCCTTTTGATGTTCAGAAAAAGTCAGCTGCCCTGGGCCAGAGTTTGCAAACTAGAAGCCAGCAGGCCAGCCCTGCCCACAGCCGTATTTTGTTTGGCATATGTTTTTGGCTTTTCTAAATTTGCATTTGCTGCCAACATTAAAAATTAGAGAAATTCCAATAAAATGTCATTCTTTCTGTTTTCTAAAAATCAATCAATCAATTTTAAAATCTCACCGTCCTGGCCTAGGCAAGTGCTGAGTGCCTGTGCTTCCCTTAGACAGGAAGCAGAGGGCAGTTTGCCCACTCCCCACCTGCCCCTACTACTCACTCCCAGCCCACTTCACTCATTTTAAGGTACTGCCCACTCCGGGCAGCGTTGGGGACTCTGGCCCCGGCCACAGTCCCTGGAGACGAAAGGGACCAGACCTGGCCCCTGCCCCTCCGAGCTGCCAACCAGGCCGTGGGGATGAGCTCCCCAAGGCCCCTCTGCCTCCCCGCCTCACTCATCCTCCTATCTGTCATCCCAGCCTGGCCCAGGGACGCTGAGACGTCCTCTTGCTCTCCTCACAGGAAAGAATCAGGAGCAGAGAGGAGACGTGTTGGCTTCACCATCTCCATCCCAAGCAGGCCCCAGCAGAAGTCTGGAAAGCGAAGCCCCCGCCAGCACCCCGGGTGACACGGTGCAGAGCCCCCTCTCTCCAGTGAGGCTCAGGCTGCCGGCGGGGAGGGGAGAGGTTGCCTGGGCCTGAGCATCTGGAGAAGGGTCGTGGAGGACAGCCCAGAGAAGCCTGCCATTTCTGGGACCTGACTGTTGGGCCAGACACCTTTGGTAGAAAGGCTGGGCCCTCCCGAGGTGGGCTCTGTCACCTCCGCCTCGAAGCTGGGGAACGAGGGTCCCAGGTCAGGAACCTGCCCAGGTCCCGCAGCAGGTGAGCGGCAGAAGCAATGCTAGGTGCTGGTCCAGCTGACTCCACACCTCTGGGTCAGCAGCTCAGGTTCGTTCAAGGCCACCAGGCCAGCCCCTCGCCACGCTGCAGTCGCGGCCGGAGCCGTGGCCACCACGACTGCCTTCCAGCACCAGCCCGTGCGTTTCCACTTCACGGCATCCACCCACCCCACTCGGCGCGCCGCCCCGGCTGGGGCAGCCCGAGCCGCACTAATGTATTGATGTCACGTCTCTGACTGGGGGTGTTACTTAAGCAAACTAGCAAATTACTCCAACCATACAGTTTCATTTATTTCCGCAGCTCCTGACTACCAGGGACTGAGGAGTGGGCAGGAGGCTGTGGGCTGTCTCCTGTTCCTCCCACCTCGGATCACAGGAGGTAACTGAGGCTTCTTCCCTCCCGGGGAAGAACCAGCTCCCGGACATAAAGCCAGGTGGGGGGCAGCAGCCACAACATGCTGGCGTGATGCGCTCAAATACTGTCTGGTTTCTCCCCAGGAAGTGGGTGCCACACGGCTTGGAGGCAGGGGGCTCGTCCATTTGTGAACACAGAAACCTGCCAGCACCAGGCCCTGCTGAGCTGGACGTCCAGCCGCAAACACATCTCTGTCTGCGTGGTCACCTGGACTTGGCAACTCGCCAGCTGTGTGTAACCTTCAAAGACACTCAAGTATTATTATCCCCATTTTACACCTGGGAAAATGGAGGCTCAGAGAGGTTACACAAATCGATAATAAAGTGACGAACAAGCACAGAGGGTGATGGACTCTGACAGTTTTTGTGGCTTGACCTCATCAAACTCATCCTGAACTGGTACCATCACGCTACACCGCCTCTCAGAGGGCAGACAGATCATTGGATGGATGACGGATGGATGGATGGGTGGATGGATGGATGGATGGGTGGATGGATGGATGGATGGATGGATGAGTGGATGGATAGATGGATGGATGGGCAAAGAAGGATGGATTATGGATAGATGAATAGATGGAAAGAGAGAGATGGATGCCTTTATAAATCAATCAATCCATCTTGGGATAGCTCTGTCTCCTTTATAACAGCTGATTTCTGTCTACCTGGATCCCTCCCTTTCCTCCAAATTTTTCTTCCAACTGTCCTGGCAGGGTTTGCTATCCAGACCCACCTTCCTCACCCATAATCCTGACTGGCTCTCTCTGAATCCTCTCCCACTGGACCTGCTCTCTTGTAGATGGGGGTGGGAGAGCCAGAACCAAGGCTCTGGTACAGCTTAACGATCACAGAGGCAGGTGGAAAAGTCCCCTCCTCTGTTCTGGGGCTGCTACCTCTGTTGCTACAACCTAAAGCTGCATTAGGTGCTCACATCAGCCTGCAGCTCTTACCAATCTGATTGTGGATAAAATGCCCAATGACCAATCATCAGAGGCTTTCTGGCTTAGCTTCGTCTTCCCCCTCCTGTATCTGGGTAGTGAATGAGGGAGTGTTTGGGGGCCCTCGATGACCATTTGGCATGCAGGGGCTTTGTGGGGAAAAAGATGAGATGAAAACAAACTCTTCCTCCCCATGCCTGCCCAGAGGAAATTAATGTTGTTCCCTCTGCCCCTTCTTGCGGCTGTCCTTCCTGGCAGCAGAGAAGAGGGCTACTATACAGGGGGACCACCCCAGTGCCCAGATGGGAGCACCTGCCCTGACAAGCTGCCAAGGGTGCCTGAACCCCGGCTGTTCTCCAGCAGGTGTCTGGGGCTGTGCCCGCTTGGGGAGGCTCCGAGGGGACAAATGGGCCCAATGCCTTCTCACACCCACCTCCCTCAGCCCAACAGAAGCAAAGAATCCAGTCAGCCTATCCCAAAAGCCCAGCAAGCCAGAAACTCATTTTCTTCCCTGAAGCTGGGCCCTGTTTTAACCCCCCGGCCCTGGTCAGCCGCCCACAAGCTCTGTCTGAGCACAGGCTGTGCTCCAGAAGCTGGACAAGGCACCATACAAAGCTTAGCCCTGAGGTCTGTACCAGAAGTGACACACAGCTTCCAATCCACACCCCTCACTGGACAGAGGAGGGAACTGGAGCTCAGAGAGGGAAAGGGGCTTGCCTGAGGTCACACAGCAAGATAACAGCGAACCAGCACTCGAACCCCAGCCTCCCACCTCAGGAACGCAGAACAGTGGTCACACCAGCCAGCCTCTGGTCGGACATGCAGGCTGAGCTGGGGACTGGAAAGACGGGACATTCGGGAAGAGTGGCACAGAGACCTGAGGGTCTGCTTGGCTCCTGGGCCAGGCGCGCCTTGCTGGGATGTGATCTCCCAGCCTCGGGTCTGGGAGAAGCAGCAAGTCCTCGTGGAAACCAGCCCTCCTCCCTGCTTTTCAGAGCTGGTGGGCATTGTTATGCATTTGTATTCTGCGTGATAACGTCCAGCTCATCTTCCCCAAATGCTTCGTTTCTTCTCAGCCAGCTCACTTGAAATCCTGGCATTTGCTAGCCATGGATTTGTTGGTGGTAAAAGGACCATTAGGTATTCATCAGCAGAGAATTGGAAGATGATCACACTATTTTAACTTTTCATTTGCCGTCTATGGCCAAATAGATATGCACCCACACGTAGATTCCACACGGCAGCGAGTATGCGCGGGGTTCGGAGCTCAAAGGGGGATGCAGACGAGAGCTCTGCTACTTGCACTTCCAAGATTAATCTCCCTCCAAAAGGTTACAATTCTTTATCGCTAACGCTTACCCATCCCATTGAACAGAAAGTGCTACCTCCAAACTGCATAATCTGTTAAATTCAACGTGATATATGTGCGAGCTTCTCCGTAATCTGCGCCCCTCCCGGGGCGGCGTATGGGGCCCGGCAGAGTTTTACTGTTCTCTGAACGCAGCGGCAATCAGACAAATGCCCACTTATGGTTCCTCCCGCCCATCCCCGTCTCGCAGAACACAGCAGAGGGGAATGGAATAAAGAGACGGCATAACGATCTCTGATTGCATTTTTAGCGCGTCTTTGACAGTTCCGTGTTTAAACACTTGCCCATGTCTGGGAGATTCACGTGACCAGACTTCTCGGGATGGCGCTCGATCTAGAGTAACTCTGCAATGGAGACTCGGCTTCAAGCTGCCGCCGGGGCTGCAAGGGGCTCGGGCACACGTGTGCCGTCGCCATGCACACACAGATGACACGGGCCGGCGACGCAACAGGGGAATCTGCGTGCAGCCCGAGCGGGCGGGAGAGGCTGAAGACAGGTGCCTGGGCCGAGGGCAGGGCTGAGAGATGGGAGCACACTGCACGGGCTGTGTCCCCCAGACGCTGGTTTGTGCTGCCCTGTGCGCCAGGCACTGTGATAAGCAATTTCGAGGCAACGCTTCTAGACACCCTTAGAAAGCAAGGCTGGACCCCATCTCTGCCTCCTCCTGGCTACTCGGCCTGGAGTGGAAACCCTCACTTCTCTGAGTCTGAGCATCCTCATCTATAAAGGCGGAATGTTTAGGGTTCTGCACAGAGTTCTTGGAAAAATCAAACTAGGGAAGACACATAAAGCCCCTGTATTGTACTTATACAGAGATTTGGTTTAATCAGGTATGCTAAGACTTGCAGACACGGAAATGACTGCCTTGAGGAAGCAGGTTATACTCACAGATCCCTAGAAACAGGGCAAGCGGGCAGAGGATGGGCTAGTGAATAACGCGGGTGGGCTTGGGGCGCAGGGCTGACCCTTGTCGTCTGCTCCCAGGCCCTGGGGCGATTGATTGATCAGGGCAGTGTGTGCGACAGCCCCATGCAGGACGTGGCTGGGGGTGGGGTGTGGAGTCTGGATGAGTTGGTTTGCTTGTGAAAGGTGTGCTCAGAGCTGAGTCCTTTACTATCTCTACAATGGGTTAACTCTGGGGGGGTAGTCCCTCGGGGTCAGCCGGCCTCCAAGATGCCAAGCCATCAGGATTCAGAAAACCAAAGGCATGATTTATACAACCTGGGTGGTAGCTGTTATCGCTGTCTTGAGGGATGTTAGGAGGAGTAAATGCCATGCTCTGCTATGAAATCCAGAAATGTTAGCTGGGAAGATGGAGATGAGAAAAGAGGCCTAAGAAAGTCAGGTCACTTGCCTGGGGTCACACACAGCAGCGCTGGAGTCCAAATCGCCTGCCTCAACCTGGTGTCGAGACACACCCCCCACTGTAGGACAGACAGTCCTGGGAGGGCAGACCCTCCACCGGCCGAGCTGCAGGCCGGCCCCCTCGGGTCCCACGGGGGAGGCACTGGAGTCACAGCCCAACACCGGTGCCCGTATTTAAAGGCAAATGAGATTTTTCTTCTGTTTCATCCTAACAGCCAAAATGTTTAACTTTCAAACGTTTGTTTTTCCTGGGAAATGTTTTAAAAACAGGAACATTCAGTCCTAATCATCAGTTTAAATGCCTGTTTCAATTGCTACCACAGAGCACACAGGACGTGAGGCTGAAGGGGACAGCTGAAAGGTTTCTGGGTTCTTCCTCCCCCAAACTAGGCCTCCTGTAGCCAGAAAGATTTTGTGGGAACCTCCCCAGAACACACATGCCCAAACACTTCATGAAAGAGGCTGCCCAGGGCCCTCACAAGGGGCCAAGCTGGTGACCAGGGATGTAACACGCATTCAGAACTCAAGGCTACGGCGCCCCCTCCAGGCCAGGCCCTGGTGGTGCCCTGACCTCTCCTTTCCGCAGCAGGACACACCGTGCACCCCTCTGAGCTGCTTGAGGCCTCTTTGCTCACGCTGTCCCACCCACCTAGGACCCTCTTCCTGCCCTTCTCTCTGAGCCAACTCCAACTGATTCTCCCTTCAATGGGCCCAAGTGCCACTTCCTCCAGGCTGCCTGCCATGAGCATCCTTTTTCACCCAGCACTCGGGGCTCCCAGCTCCGCCCAGCCTGAGCTCTCGCTGTCGCTGCCTCGTCTGCTTCCCCCACCAGCCGGGCGTCCTCCCAGGCTGGGACCAGCCTGCTTCCTCTCCTGCGCCCAGCACAGGGCTGGCTATGGGGGAAGTGCTCATACACGCTCACTGAATCCAAGATGTATTACCATCCTCGTAGGATAGAGGATGAGGATCAGATGGTGAGGGCAATGACTCACCAAAGGTCCCCAAGCAGTCCACTACGGAACGTTCCAGAAGGATCATCGTTAAGATGCTGACCGGCCTCTCGGGTGGCAGCCCCCAAGCTGTCGTGGCTTCCACTCCCTCAACAGACGTCAAGGTGGGCACAAGGCCCAGGTGTGGGGCTGACACCCGGAGGCTCCAGTAAGAGCCTCCCCGGAGGCAGGGAGGCCTGGGTTCAGCCTCGGCTCTGCTACCACATCACCGGACCCGGGTGAGGCCTACCCCTGCTCAGGCCTCAGTTTCCCCATCTATCCCATGAGGAGGTCCTGACCCTTAGAGAGCCCTTTCAGCTTTCTAAGACCCTCCAGGAGGTGCCGGGGTTGCAGGGGGGCTTCCCAAGGCAGGTGCTAATAGGGCCAAACAGCAGGACAGAAAGGGCTCACACAGGGCAGGGCATTGTGAATGCCCACGTGTGCCTGCTTGTTGCTGACATCCTGTGGAATCAACAGTAAAGGAATAAAAAGGTATGACGCTCCACAAGAAGCAAAGCGAGCTGTGGCCAGAGCCCCAGGCGGTTCAGGGACCCAGGCTCAGTGCACGGTCTGACCTAGAACCCATGGGAGCAGGTAGGCCTAGGGCCCCTCCCCCATCACACCTGTCACCACGCCCTTTACCCACCAATCTCCGCAGGAGAGGGTATTTACTCTCAAGGGAAAATAACAGCTCCACAGAGCCCATTTAGGGACCACAAGGCTTGAGGGAGGATGGGCAGTGAGGTCGGAGGCTGAACAACAGTAGGATAAAGTGAAAGAATAAACACAGTGACTGTGCAGACCCCAGGCCCCTTCCCCAGTGAGCTCTCAGGTTCTGGAAGCCAGACTTGGAAACTGGGGAACTCATTTCTGGGGAGAAAGATAAGTCCAGGAGAAAAAACCTACAGATAGTGATACGAGGGGCTCCCCAGAGAGATGGCCAGGACCCCATCACAGTACAACCTCCACCCCCCCCACACACACACGTATACACACAGCTTATCAACAGCTTTCAAACGTCTAGTTCTTAAACACAACACACAGGATCATCAGACCTCGGAGAAAAGCCTCCAACCTGAAAATGGAGGCAGAGGCCAAAACAAGAAGAAAGGAAATTGGAGGAAAAGGGGCTGATGCGGGGGGAAAAAATAACATATAATTACCACCATTGGTGAGATAACAGAAGATATTACACCCGTGAAATTCTAGCAGGGTGCTCTTAACAAAAGAAATTAAAACGTGGCAGAATTTTAAAATTTTGGTTAGAGAGTAGAAGATGGAATTGAGGAAGTCTCCCAGAGACTGAAACAAAATGACAATAAAGTGAGTACCAGGCAAGGAAAGAGACAAAAATCAGAGAATCCAAACCAGAGGTCCCACATTTGGATACTATGAAAAAGAAGTCAGAAAAAATAGAGGGGAGGGAAATTTTGAGGAAAAAAAAAAAAAAAAAAGAATATGAGAGAATGTCCCAGGATTAAAGGACAATATTTGCTCCATTAAAAGGGTTACCTGAGTGACCACAATAATGAATGAAAAAACACCCACATCTGAGGCACACTGCCCAGAAACAAAACAGGTCATGTACAAAGGGTGAGATATCCAAACGAATATCTTCAAGAGTGACACAGGAAACTAAAAGAAAACAGAGCAATGCCTTCCAAATTTTGAGGGAAAACGATCTGCTACCCAGAATTCTACACCCAGACAAACTACCAATTAAGACTGAGGACAAAATAAAGACTTTTCCTGACATACAATTTTGCCAAACATTTATCTCCAGCACATTCTTTCTCAGAAAGCTACTCAAGGGTGTGTTCCACCAGAATGAGGGAGTAAACCAAGAAAAAGGAAGCCATGGGATCCCGGAACCAGGAGCTCCAAGAGAAAAGGAAGGCGAAGGGAAATGGTGAAGGGGGATCCAGGATGACGAGTGTACACAGGCCTGGAGGGCAGCTAATCCAGGCAGGGGTTGGAGGCTCAGGAAGTATAAGAAAAATGGGCCATCCGATGGCCTGGCCCAGCCCAGCACACTGCTGAGGGGCACTTCAAACCCTGCAGGAGACAGGGATGAACCACAATGGGTACAAGGAAACACAAGCAAACAAAACAATTTACTACTTTAGGAAAAACAATAGGTTATGCAATGAATATTTAACCAAAAACTGTGATGGGACTACAGCAGAAAGATAAGAGAGGAGATGTGTATATATGGGTAGAGAGACTAAGTCTCTAAATTTTCATTTTTCATAGTAAGACATTAAAAAGTAATCCCTAAAACTGAAAAATAAAGAACAGCAATATAAGGTTGTTACTCAGAGACATCGTGGTGATAAATCGGTAGCTACCAGATTTGCACAGGGAATAGGAATCAGGACTGGGGAGGGGACCTGGGGAGGAGGCTGCTGGCTTTACCATAAGCCTTGTAGCATGTTGTGACTCATTCTGCACATGTATTACCTTAATGCAAATAAAACTGTGATGAAATTAAAAGACGGCATTGGAGGCCAGGCCCTCCTCGCCTGCCTCCTACCTCTGCCCAGGGCAGCCTGACCTCTCACTGGTTCTACCCGCTGCTCAAAATCTAGAACCAAATCAAACTGGGTCACAATTGAATCTGTAGACTGTTTTGCATGGTACTGACATCTTAAGAATCTGATTCTGAGGGTCTAAGGGCTGGGATGACTCTAGCAACCAGGTGCAAAGGCAGGTGACCTGGTCAAGCATCTCCTAACCCTGGTAGGTCAGACAGCCACTAATAACATCACAGGTATCACCTGCTGAGAGTCTGAGACAGGCTCCCTCCTGCCTTACTTCTAACTCTCACAACAGCCCCACAAAATGGGCAGTAGATTGGCAGATGAAGAAATTGGGACTCAGTGAGTTTAAATAACTACAAAATGGGTAAGCAGAGAAGTGGGATTCCATCTGTAGCTGAAGCCTCAATCTCTCCATTTCTGTCACACCACCAAGACATTACATATGCCAAAGAAATATTCCTCAGGAAAAAAAAAAGAAAAAAATGGTACCATATACTTGAGTCCTTATAAAATCTCCCCTGCTATGAGGAGCTCTTGATGATTTTATTTTAAACGACATAACATTTTGGAGCTATCTTGTGGCTTCAAAAACAAGCCTTTACAGACCATCTTGAAAAGCAACACAGATGTCAGAACAAGTTAAACGAGTTCAGCAGAGGTGCAGGATACAAAAACAACGGCAAGACAAGCAGTTGCATTTCTACACACTAACAATAAACAATCTGAAAAGGATATTAAGAAAACAATCCTATTCGCAATAGCATCAAAAAGAATAAAATAGGACTTCCCTGGTGGTGCAGTGGTTAAGGATTCACCTGCCAATGCAGGGGACACGGGTTCAAGCCCTGGTCCAGGAAGATCCCACATGCCGCACAGCAACTAAGCCCGTGAGCCACAACTACTCAGCCTGCGCTCTAGAGCCCGCGAGTCACAACTATTGAGCCCGTGTGCCACAACTACTGAAGCCCGCGCATCTAGAGCCCGTGCTCTGCAACAAGAGAAGCCACCACAATGAGAAGCCCACACACTGCAACGAAGAGTAGCCCCCGCTCACCACAACTAGAGAAAGCCCGCGTGCAGCAACGAAGACGCAGTGCAGCCAAAAATAAATAAATAAATTTATTTTTTTTAAAAAAAGAATAAAATACTTAGGAATAAATTTAACCAAGGAGGTGAAATATTTGTACACTGAAAACTCCAAAATATCTGCTGAAAGAGACTAAAGAAGACACCAATAAGTGGAAAGAAGTCCTGTGCTCATGGACTGGAAGACTTCATATAGTTAAGATGTCAATACTATTCAAAACAATCTACAGATTCAATGGAATCCCTACAAAAATCTCAATGATGTTTCTTTCAGAAACAGAAAATCCATCCTAAAATTCATATGAAATCTCAAGAGTCCCTGAGTAGCCAAAATAATCTTGAAAAAGAAAAACAAAGTTGGAGGTCCCACACGTCCTGATTTCAAAACTGACTACAAAGCTACAGTAATTAAAACAGTATGGTACTGGCATAAATACAGACATATAGATCAATGCAATAGAAGAGAAAGCCCAGAAATAAACATATATGGTCAAATGATTTTCGACAAAGGGGCTAAGAGGGAAAAGAACAGTCTTTCAACAAATGGTGCTGGGAAAACTGGACATCCAATGCCAAAGAATGAAGCTGGCCCCTTAACATCATATACAAAAATGAACTCAAAACGGAACAAAGATCTAAAGTTAAGAGCTAAAATTATAATACTCTTAAAAGAAACCATAGGGGGGAAGCTCCATGACATTGGATTTGGCAATGATTTCTTGGATATGACACCAAAAGTGCAGGCAACAAAAGAAAAATATATCAAAATTTAAAACTTCTGTACATCAAAGACACCATCAGCAGAGTGAAAAGGCAACCCAAAGACTGGGAAAAGAATTGCAAATCATATTTCTGGTAAGACGTTAATACCCAGAATATACAGAGAGCTCCTAAAACTCAACAACAAAAACCCCCAAACAATCCAATTCAAAAATGGGCAGGGGACTTGCATTGAGATTTCTCCAAAATGGCCAATAAGCACATGAAAAGATGTTCCACGTCACTGATCATTAGGGAACTGCAAATCAAGCTGTGAGATAACAACCTCACATCCATCAGGATGGTTACTATCAGAAAAACAGAAAACCGCAAGCGCCGGTAAAGTTGTGGAGAAATGACAGCCCTTGGACACTGTCGGTAGGAATATAAAACAGAACCGCCGCTGTGGAAAACAGTATGGAAGTTTCTCAAAAAATTAGAAACAGAACTAGCATATGATCCAGCAGTTCCATTTCTGGGTATATGCCCTGAAGAACTGGAAGCAGGGACACAAACAGGCACTTGTATCCTCAAATTCGCAACAGCCCAAAGGTGGGGGAACTCAGGTGTCCATTAACAGATAAACGGATAAGTACGATGTGGCGTAGCCACACAATGGAATATAATTCAGCCTTAAATAGGAAGGGAATTTTGACCCACGCAACAACATGGATGGACCTTGAGGACATTCTGCTCAGTGAAATGAGCCAGTCACGAAAGAACAACTACTGTGTGATTCCACTTATACGAGGTCCCTGTCGTCAAATGCACAGAGACAGGAAGTGGAATGGTGAGCGCCAGGGGCTGGGGAGGGGTCAGTATTAATGGGTGCGGCGTTGCAGTTTGGGAAGATGTCCAGGAGACGGATGGGGCGATGGCTGCACAGCAATGTGAACGTGCTTCACGCCACTGAGCTGCACACTTGAAAAAGGTTAAAATGGTAAATGTGATGTATATTTAACCACGATTTAAATTTTAAAATAATCTTAAAAGAAGAGAACCAAGGGCCTTGAATTCCAGACACTAGAATTGTGAGCAGGTAGAACCAAAGATTCTTGGAACTCTTAGAATCCTAGAATCTTAGAGCCCTGGAAGCCAATCATTCTAAAAGCAAACCATTCTAGAACTTTAGAAGTCATCAAGGTTTACAGGTGGAGAGGGACTGAGTGGCCATCTAGAGTCTTGCCCCCCTCACCCTTCCCCCTTTATCAAAAAGTCCTAATTGAGGAGCTCCAGGCCAGGAAGCCTATACCTGCTTCCATCCTTCCAGAAAATTCCCAGCATGGATGTCACCTGGGGTTTGACAGCCCTGGATGAAAGACATGACTACGGGGACAGATACCTGGCCTTCATGTTACCTTTTTCCAAAAGGTTCCTCTGGTGCCTTGTGACACCTACAGACAACCCTTTTAAAGGGGAAAAAAATTGGCCCAAAACAATATTCTTTGCAGTAGCAACTGAAATAAGTATTTGAAAATGATTAAGGCAAAAGGTTCCTATTTTTTAAATACTTCTTAGTGAAACCAAGTGTTTTAAAGGTAAATAAACATTTTGGAGATTAAGATACATGAAAGTAAAATCATCTTGCCACCTCTGTTGACGTCTACTTCATTCTACAGTCATTCTCCTTGGCCCTAATAAGTGCCGGACCCTGTGCTGGGAGCTGGGGACAGAGAGGTCCCGACCCGGCCCCTTCTCCTGTTGTCCATTGTGGAAAAGATACACGCGGGAAATCTGGGATCTGTGATGCGGGCGGTACCAAGTCATAGGGAACCGTAAACAGTAGCGAGTTTTCCTTTCCCTGACCAGGAGTGAGGGAGGAGCTCTGAAAGGTGGATAAGAGGGAACACCATAGAAATAGCAGCTCTCCAGGCAGGCGAGGCTGGGAAGGGCATCCCGGGAAGAGAACCCCACACCGGCAAAGGCATGCAGGTGGGAGAATCACCTGCTAGGTATTCAGCAATTGCTTAGAAGCCCAGGGCAGACGGGGCTGCAAGTGGGGACAGGCCTGGGAGGGACAGATGGGGTCACACCAGGAGGGGTCTCCACTGCCCGGAGAAGATCTGGACTTCCCCCGGACACAGCAGAAAACCAAAAAAGAGCATTAAGGGGAGAGGGGATACGGTTGGATCGATGAACAAAAAACTTTCAAACACAAATATGACAAACGTTAATCTGGAAAGTGACTATTTTGAGAGGCTGGGATGCTACCAGAGAAAGCCCCGCTTTGTCAGCTCCATGTTTCCCCTTCAGGGTCACGGCTGTCAAACCAGCCCAGAATTAGCTCCGAACGGCCTTCTGAGAGCTCTCAGATCTTCATTTGCATCGTGCGCGCTCGGAAAGGTGTGACATTCTTCTTCTTAAGAGAAATCAAAGAAACAAACCTATACACTTAAAAAAAAACCCTGATTTTCTTTAAAACAAATTTCAAAGAACGAAATCCTAACTTTTAAATATCTGATTTTTAAAAAGGAAGGCATCCATGGACTTCCCCGGGGGTCCAGTGGTTAAGACTCTGTGCTCCCAATGCAGGGGACCCAGGTTCCATCCCTGGTCAGGGAACTAGATCCCGCGTGCCTCAATGAAGATCCTTCAGGCGACGAAGAAAATCCCTGTGCCACAACTAAGACCCAGCGCAGCCAAATAAATAAATATTTTCTTAAAAGGAAGGCATCTGTGCATGATGTTAATAATAGTAATGAAAGCTCCCATCAACTGGGCATCTACTTTTTTGCTGGGCCCTTTAGATGCATTCATAAAATAGCCACAACAAAAACAGCAGAGGCATTTATTATCATGTGTTTATCTCACACCAGGTCCTATGGTGAGCCCAGATCAGCCCCTGCCTCACTGAACCCTCCCAATATCGGCCCCCTTTTACAGATGAGAAAACTGAGGCTAAGGGAGAGGACATAACATGCCGAAAGCCAGGTGGCTTGGAAGAACAGAGCCACAATCCGAACCCGAGGGGTGTATCCAGACCCACACGCTGGAACAGGATCCCAACTGCAGTGTCTTATTCAATCCTCACAATAGCCTACAAAGAAGGTGTGTCAGCCCCACACTGTAGATGGATACCCTGAGGCCCAAGAGAGTAATGACTTCCTCAAGGTTGCGCAGCAGGCATGTGGCCAGGGAGGGCTGGGGAGGCAGTCCCACCGGCTCCAAAGCCTACATCCTTTCCACTGGCTCCTCTGTCACTTCAGGAATTTAATTTATAAATAATAAATGGTAATAGCGAGTGCCTACTGGGCTGGTGCTGTCCGTGGTGCTGAAGACGCAACATGCCTGAGATGGACAAGATCCCTGCCTTCCAGAAGTGGACCTTCGTGGGATATTGGCAATAAAGGAACAAAGAATTAAGTACCAGGTCAGGTGAGGATAACAGATATGGAAAAATGAAGCCAGGTGAGCAGGACAGGGCACACTGGGGTAGCGAAGCAGATCAATGTAGGGCCATCAGGAAGGCCTCTCTGGAAAGGTGACCCCTGAGAGCCAGGAACTGGGTGACCTCCGGGAAACCACACGCCTGCACCGGGTCTCAGTCTCCTAATCTGTAAAGTGGGGATGGCATTACTCAGGACCCAGGCTGTTTGCTTCAAGGGAGAAGTGAGCAAACAGCATGAAAGCACTTTTACACTGTAAAGTGTCGTCCGGAAAACAATCGTCGCTGTTCAGCCCTCCCACGACTTGGATACAAGGCTTTGCAGCAAAATGTGTTTTTCACGTAAGAAATGTAAGGTCCCTCAACCACTTAAACATGACTTTATTTAGTTGGTCCTGATGTTATAAAGTGTTACTCCTGCCCATAAATATCAGAACAGACTTGGTAAGGAGGAATCTGTTAACAGCAAGGGTTGGGATTTTCTGAATATACAAGGGGAAGTTCCCACACGAAACAGGTCACCTTAGGCATTAAAAGAAATAATTTAAACATTTTAGAAGAGCACAGGCCTCGATTCCACTTTAATTTACTGTGCGACCTTGGGCAAGCTCTTCGCCTAAGCTTGGTTCCTTCTCCCATAGAGACAGGAACAGCAGAGACCTCAAGGGGTTGTCTTGCCCCTACAGTAGCCATTAACTCCCTGTGGCTATTTAATTTCAAACTAACTGCCATGAAATGAAACACATAAGTCAGTTTCTCAGTCACACTAGCCCCATTTCAAGGGCTCAAAACCCACAAGAGGCAGGTGGCCGCAGTAGTGGACAGCTCAGGTCTAGGGCCTTGCTACTCATCAGCTGGGAGCTGGCGAGAAATGCGGATGCTCCAGCCACCCCAGGCCTGCTGCACTGAGATCTGCGCTTTAACAACCCCCCCCCCCCCCGCAACCTCTCTAGGGAAATCTCACGCACCTGAAGTCTGAGAAGGGCTGCCGGGGAGAGAGCAGGTAGGGAGACACCCTATGGGAAGGCGTAGCTCTGTAACAATGACAAGGATGACAGGGCGCTTTCCACACCCTCTCTTAGTGGGGGTCACAGTCTCCAAACCGAACTAGTCACAGAACTTCTGACAAAGGCTGCGCTGAGTCCAGGTGCAGAAGGCAGGCAGGGGAAGGTGGTGTGGACAGGAAAATGGAATCCCTCAGACATTTCAGAAGTTTGTGTGCACACGGGGACAGAATATTTCAATTCTGTGCTGGCCAGGATTTTCTGACTTGTTGCCTATTCCTGTTTTGGAATGAAGTCCAACATGAAAATGACATTTAAAAAACCCACAGGCTGACTTCATGTCCAAACACATCTCTCCATGTTTGTAGAAAAAAAAAAAAAAGAAAGAAAGAAAAGAAGCATACCAGCAAGAGAATCTTGCTTCCCCCAATTCGTGAATGGCCAGCCA